CCCTCGTGGCATGATGAACCAGAGGTACTGAGACATTTCATGTGGCTCTGACCTGTTCCAGAGTCATTGTCCGGGGGTCAAACCTCCCAAGGTGAACCTTGCAGTTCCTCTAGCAGAAGCTGTGGGTAATCTTTGGACCCAGCGTCGGAAGCCCCAGAACTCTGCTTTGCCGGAGTCTATCGGGCAGATGAGTCACTGTGGCCAGCCCAGGTACAGGGGCCACAAGACACACAGACAGGCTCTCCTCAGGGATGGTGATGGTGGGGTCCTCTCGATGGCAGCCTCAGGAACCAGGCACCCATGCCTAGTGATCCAGCCTTAATCTCATCGGGGACCACAGCCAGGATATCTCTCCCCTAGGCGTGGTGTTATAGTTAAATAAAATGCTGCTTATGGCGGGTAGCACTGAATCAGTACATTAGCCATATGGTTAAAAGGAGTATTATATGTATAGGAAACATATTTATGATAGCTGAGAAACAGTACTTATATTTTCTTAGTGTTCTATCAGTTTCATGTATTTTTTCTTTTATTTATTTATCAGAAAAATATCAAATATAATCATCTTGCAATTTTTTTTAAAAGCAGAATGTTTACTCTTCATTCTACCGTTACTGTTACCTTTTTACAATGTTTATTTTTTCCTGTCTTTTCTTTTACATTGTAATTATAGCATACGAGCAATGTTGTCATCTTGTTTCCACTTTCAACATATCAGAAGCGATATATGTGCACCCACGTTTATAGTGGCACAGTTCGTAATAGCTAAAGCTTGGAAACAGCCCAAGTGCCCATCAACTGGAAACTGGATAAAGACGATATGGTTTTTTTTCATAAAATGGAGTACTACTCAGTCATAAAGAATGAAATACTAGAGACATTTATAGCTAAATGGATGCATATTGAGGCCATACTCTTAAGTGAAATAAATAGGACACACGTGTAAATACTGAAGTTTCTCTAGTGTGAGAAACTGAAAGTGTACATAAGGATTAAAATGTTTAAAACAAATAATTGATAATTTGAAATAGGAAGAAAAGGTCCAAGGGGTAGGGGAAGTGGGAGGGGAAGGGGAAAGGAAAGAGGGGAAAGGAAAAATTATGAGAAAAGGAAAAAATGGAAACAAAGTCTATGTAAATAGGGAAGGGCGCACAGAGAATGGGGAAAAAATAAGAACCAAGATACATCATGTACAGGTCCAAGCACCCAATGATAAATGTAAAGGTATTGTATACCTAAAATGTACCAATAAAAGAATTTAAGCAAAAAAATAAAGCTTTCCTCATGCTGTGATATAGTTTTCATAACTGTCAATTTTAATGTTCTTATAATATTGCATAACCATTTCTCTAAATTGGATGTGTAGGTCTCTTCTCTTTCAGTGTGTGGTAATTTGTGATTATCCTCACCATAACTTAATGTACAAGTGTAGTAGGCACCTGGAGGCCCTGAAATTTTGACCTAGATTCAGCATCGTCAGTTCCATTTGTTTCCTCAACTTCTCCATTATCTCTGAAGTTGTAGTGCCTCTAACTTTCACCTGAGTCAATAATCTCCCTGATCTTCTCCAGTTACACATGTATCCTCTTTGTCGTTTGCCTTCATTCTTTCTTTTCTCTCTCCCTCCCTCATTCTATCTCCTCCTTTCCTCTCCAAGTATTTGCTAATTCTCTATCTTCTATGTCAAGGAGTCTTTTTATATGTACTAAATGAAGTAATATACAAGACAGTTTCCCAGTCTCCATAAACAAATGCTGTACAGAAAATTTTAAAAGGGTAGTGTGTGTTAGAGAGTGTCTGTCATAAAAAGAACCAAAGGAAAGGCAGTGTCTACCATGTTTTTCTACTCCAAAGCTACTACATTTCACTAATTAATGAGTAGTTTGTGGGAAGATACTTTGACATTATGTGAGTATCTTATCCCTCTTTATACTTTCATACATTACTTTTAACATTCATTAATGACATAATTCCATCATTCTTTCTATATGTATTAGATGATATTCTACTTTAAGGAATAACTTTACTCTGTCTTTCAGTTGTTCATTCCTTCATTCATTTTTCCTTATAGCATCATGGACTGTTGGATGCTTGTTTCAATCAGTGGATTATGCTACTACTGTTATTTAGCTTGATGATCAAATTGCTCCACATTTGGCCAGGAGAGCCCTTTCAAACAGACTGCTGTGTTTTGATATGTTCTTATCATTCTCTGAGTAGTTCCTTGTTTTGTGGCATGTCAAGATGTTTTGGTGTTATCTTTTATTTTCCTTTTTTTCCATTTTCTCCTTCTTCCTCGTTTCCCATATTCTCAGTATAGTTAGATGTATGTGTAGATTTAGGAGATTATTTCCATATTCCATGCAAAAGTAGTAAGAACCTAAAGTGGAGTGTGACTAACAGGATTATTAGTGGCCAGGAGGTATGTGAGAAGAATGTCAGAGGGAGATCAGTAGGGCATGGCTGAGGATGTGAAGGGCTGGAGAGAGCAACTTGGGTTAAGTTGGCTTCACTTTTGGTGTCAGACTTATATCTGACACCAAGACAGTGGTGGCATTAGTAGAATTTAGATATAAAGTAGACAGAGAAGCTGTGTTGAGGATTGGAGACTAAAGAAAATGTGATGGATTTTGTTTGGGATGTATTGAATGTGATATGTCTTGCAGGTATTTGGAAATAGGAGTGTAATATTCAGTTGGAAGATCAGATAGTTACGTGAGAGTCATCAAAATCTGTGGTTACAAAATCCAGTGAGAGGAGTGTTGTCACCAAGAAGATAGTGAGCAAATATTGGGTCAAGAATAAAATTCTGGGCTTTGTTGCCATTAGAGGGTTTGAGAAGTCTGTACAGGAGACCAGGAGAATTGGACTGCATTATAAGGAGATGGGAGTATCAGTGTCACCAAGACAGCTGAAAGTTTTAAGGGAGATACATGGTCAGTCATGCCATAAGCAGCAGATTGTTCCAGTGGTGTTATGGGTTGAAGAAGGTCGCTTAGACTGGCCAATACAAAGGTCCTTTGTCACCTTTAAAGGGATCAGTCTTGCAGAACTTTGGGATAGTGGAAGCCAGGAATATAGAGTTCAGCAAAGGAGGGCATTGGGAAAGAATGACTATCAATTTAGTGTGCCTTGCAATGTACATACTGCCTACTTCTGGGTTCTGCCTCGCTTCTTGATGCCTTTCCACATTCATTTTCCTTCTCTGTTTCCCCTTGTCTTAGATAAGCTTGAGGTCAGACACTCTGAATTCCTTTTTATCTCTTTATCCTGAAGAACTGACACTAACTTGTATGTAGCAGGTACCCGTAACTCCTGCGTGAATGGAAGGATGATGGATGGATGGAGAGTGAGGACTCATGTCTGGAAACAGAATGGTAGATCTGACTTATTTGGAGGAGGCTGACTTGGGATCTGAATAGGCAGGAAAAACCATGGAATTCTCAACAAGTGGAGTCAGGTACAAGAGTTAAGAAAGAGTAAGAGGGAGGGAAATATCTTAACTAAGTGAGTTTCAATGAAAACAACCTTACCAAAGGTTACGTGGTTACAGAGCTATGAACCAATCTAAATCAAGTTCACATTAGCTATCAGGAACCAAAGTTTACTCCAAGTTAAATAACCTCAAAACAGTGCCAGAAAAGCTTCATGTAGTCAGGAAGCCCAGAAAAGGAAGTAGGAGTGTGCAGCAGTTTGAAGGATTTAATGCACTATCTGTGGCACTGTCTGCTGCGAATGACTATAGATATTGAATGATGCAAAATCTGCCATGTCTGTCCCACAACCATGAGTCAGTCTCAGGGAAAGTCAGCCTTGTACTCAACCAGGCCCACATAGGCTGCTACATAAACCAGGTCAACTCACTCTTCCTTGTCCACAATAAAAGCTGCAAGCTCTCTGCTCATGAGAACACTGGTTCCCTCTTTCCCTGTCAGCACACTGTCTACACAGCCATAGGGTAACCAGAAGAGCCCTCTTCGGGAACTGTGTCATAACTAGTGTTCACTGAAGCATTCTGGGTCACGGGGCGCTATTCTAAACTTTTTACATGAATCATCTTATATCACCTGTACAACTCCTACCAATAATAATACCAGTGACATTGTAATTCAGTAGATGAGTAGGCTAAGGCTGATAACTTGTCCAAGGTCATACCAGCAAGGATGAGACAGAGGTAGGATTTAAACTCATATCTGTCTAATTCCATATCTGGACTCCTGACCACCAAGTTCCCATGGAATATGAGCGAAGGGAGTTAATTCAAATTGAAATTGAATTTGACTCGGGTGTCAGTCACATTTGGCTGTCTGTGTAATGAAGGTGAAAGTGCAGGGGTCAAACACACTCCAAAACTCTGCTCCACAGGCTGACCCTTTTCCTGTTGTTCCTCTGAGGACCAAGACCCCTTGCAGCTACCTCTGTCGATACCTTCAGTTCAGCTGTTGGTGGCCCTGGAGTCACTCTCTCTGCTCTGTGTGACTTTGTGTGAGGGAGTTGTGTTTGGTTTGTTTGTTTGTTTTTTATCAACGGCTTTAGAAATGCTTTTTGGGGGGGAACACTTCCCACCATCACCTTCCACGGTAAAACATGTCCTGACCATCTGGTAAAAGTCCCAGGAGCACAGCTTCCAGGTGCCATCCTAGAATTGTGCCCTCTCTGGAACCAGCTGAGACTTGGCTTTCCAGTGGTGTATGCCAGGTGGTGACCAAATTTGAATGCTCACCAGCCTAGGCCTCACAAATGTGAGAGCCAGGGAATTGACTTCTACTGGCTGGAAGGACCAAGGAGTGAAAATAAGGGAAGATACAGATAGAGAAACACTATAAGTCTAAGCCTTTGAGTCAGTGTTTCTGAAAAAGCACTTATTGGTTTAATTATTCAGATTAAAATTTTGGCAATTAATCAGATTTAAAATTTTACAACTCTTGATTATCTGCTGTTACATACATTTTATTACCACCGTGATTCTCCACTCTCTTCCTCTTTCCTTTCCCCGACAGGATGTGAAGTGCTGACAAAACTTGACTTGACTGTGAATTTCATTGGAGAGCTGAGCAGTGTTAAAAGCCTGACACACAACATCCATCTGAAGGAGCTCTTTCTCATGGGTAACCCATGCGCTGACTTTGATGGCTACAGGCAGTTTGTGGTGGCCACACTTCAGCAGTTAAAGGTGAGCTCCTCCTAAGGGTGCAAAAAGAAAACCAGAAAATAAAGACGAGTAGGAACAATAATCCCTGATTTATGCACTGCACTGTTAGGAAATGTGACTAATTCTAACTTGTGAACTTGTTTTTTTGTGGTGCTGGGGTATAGTAGAGGAACTCTCACATGCTAGACAGGTGCTTTACCTCCGTGCTACACCTGGAGCCCTGGTTTTGTTTGTGTTTGTGTTTTATTTCTAAGACTCACCTTGGTGAGGAAGTTGTGGTTAAAACTGATTGAAGAACTAAAACCTATATATCATAATGTCACGATATGTTAATGTATCCTCACAATAGCTCCTGAATCTCTTAATTTTAGAACTTGGGAATAAAAAGATATCTAGGTAAAGTATACAACTGAGAATATCAAAGCAGTTGTGTTCATTTTCATGTAATTCCAAAGGTTCTCACCTTGCATATGGCTCCACACTTCTGCAAAGACAACGTGTGGTTGTTTCTTAGACTTCTGTGTCCTCTGTAGTTGAGAGATTTCTGACTGCTAGGCCAATGGAATATTTTTTTCTAATGTAAAATTTCTTAGATGAAGAGAATGAGTGATTCAATTGTGAATGAACAATCATTTCTCTCAAACATACTCCAGACTGATAATCATTGCATAGTGGATTCCTAGAAATTGAATGGTTAAGAGCCAGAGTATCATGGGAATGGATCTTGTAGTGTTATGCTGAGAGCCATGATCTTGGAATGCTTAAGGGGCTGAAAAGCCACAAAGTCACCACAGTGGAGCCCATGTCAGTGATCCAGTGTTCAGGCTGAAAGTGTGCAAGCATCATCCGGGTGGTAGAAATGGGCTGGGTAGTGCCAGCCGCTTTGTGCACAGCACCCTTGCTCTTCTCAGGGCCATACAGGAGACACTAGAGGGTATCAGAGATGAGGAAGTTGGGGCTCAGAGATTGATGCTTTCTGTCCACACTGGCACATCTGGCAAGTGGAACAGGTGGGATTTGAACCTGTGCATGTGTGTGACTCTATGCCTCCACCCTACAACCAAACTTGCTGCTTCTCTCTGTTTTAATATACAGCCATTGGATTAAGTCTTTCCTTTCAGAAATAGTGCACTAAAATGGTAGTTATAATAGATAGCAACTTTCTTTCAAAAAACAGTATTCACAAGTATGTTTATTAATATTTAAAATGGGTTGATAAAGTTGGGCATGGTAGTGTATACCCATAATTTTAGCAGTCTAGGAGGCTAAAGAAGAGAACCTTAAACTTTAGCTCAGGCTGGGCAATTTAGCAATTTAGGGAGATCCTGTCTCAAAAATAAAAAGGACTGGGAGTAGAGCTCAGTGTGAAGGCTCTGGGTTCAATCTCAAATACTGCAAAAAAAATAGATTGATAAACTTTAGAATCTTAATTACCATTTCATTGAAAGCTTGCAGTCTACTTGAAAGGAATTGTGTTAATAGACACATTATTTTCCTAGGGCTGTTGTAACAAATTACCACAAACTGAATGGCTTAAACAACAACAATTTGGATCTCTTAGTTTTATACCCCAAATGTTCAAGATCAAGGTGTCAACAGAGTTGTCTCCCTCTAAGGGATGTGAGGGGGAATCTGCTCCTGGACTCTCTCTTGGCTTCTGGTATTTGTTGGCTGTCTTCATCATCCTTGGACTTGTAGATTCATCACTTTCATGTCTGCCTTTATTTTCACACAGTGTTCTTCTTGGGTCTCTGTCCTTCTTTTTTTAAATTTTTATTTATTTTATTTTATTTTTTTAAACTTGTATACCAATATTTTTTTTCTTTTTGGTACCAGGGATTGAACTCGGGTCCTTGCGCTTTCAAGGCAGGCAGTAGAACCACTGAGATAAATCCCTGGCCCAGGTCTCTGTCCTTCTACAAAACATTCTTTCAGTAAAGACACCAGTCAAATTAGATTAGGGACCCACCCTACTCCAGTATGATTTTATCTTGATGAATTACACTTATAATATATCTATTTTCAAGTAAAGCCACATTTTGAGATCCTGGGGGTTATAACTTCAATTACTTTTTTGGGGGGAGATCCTTTTCAACCCCTAACAACAGAGTAGTGATTGGTTTTAGATATCCATGGAAAAGATTTGTGAGGAGATTCAGTTCTTTTCACGTATTCTTTTTCCAGTACCTAGCCTCTGCAGGTTAGTAAGTAGGCATTGTGGTGTACTGCATAGAAGATGTGTTAGCAGACAGACAGGGTCTGATTCATGTTCCCACTACTTATGGATCACATACTTCACTCTACTCAGTTATAACTGGATACTATTCTTAACAGTTTTGTGAGGGCTTGAATAAATCTTAGTTCTTTTCCTCTTTATTGCAGTACATGCACAATTATCAGTAAGTGTAGACACTCCTCCTCTGTTTTTTCAGGAAACCTGAGTGAAGAACCATCAAGAAATACTAAAATGCTCACCTTAAGGCTTCATCTCTGCTAATTAGGCCCTCTGAACTCAAAAACAATTTTGATTTAAAAGAAATTTATGACTGTTTGGAAAACTACCTAATAGAAGTCATCAAATAAATTGAGGCCCCTAAAATAGGTTCTGGGGCCCAGTCCTAAATTTGATATCAGTTCTTATTATGAAGTCTTTTGTCTGTAAGGTAATAGAGGGATCATTTGTACTAATCCTTTTGGAAATACAGTAATACCTTGATTCATGAATGCCTCTGTTTGCAAACAGTTCAGTTCTCAAACAGAAGTGTTTGGCAAGATTTTGCTTCCATTTGAGAACTCTACATTGGGTGACGAACACAACTACAGCCATCTTCCCTGCATGAACACTAACATAGCCATCTCCCAGAATCATGGAAGCTATTAAGTTACTAAACTGAGGTACCACCCTATTAGGTTTAATCAAGTCAATATTTAAACCAAGTATAAAAACATTTTGTTAAACAAACAAATCGATGCATGCACTCCACATACACAGGTAAGAGAATATCACCTTGCTTCCCAGCTGTATTAGTTAGGGTTCTCTGGAGGAACAGATTCAATATTAAATATGTATATGATTACACAAGGGATTTATTAGGTAGGCTTACAGGGTCAGAAGCAGAAGTCTTCTGTCTGTGGGATCAGAGACTGAAGAATCCAAAATGGCCCACTGCATGTGGAGAGCCAAAGGATCTAGAAGCAGTTCAAAGTTGAAGGCCTGGAAGATCCTTGCATTGTCATTTGCGTGAGTCTGCATTGGAAGGTGGATGAATCTGCCTTGGAAGCCTGAAGAGTCTGCACTGTAAGGCTAAAGGAACTGGAGAACAGTGTTCAAAGGCAATAGAAAAGACCAGAGTTCCTCCAAAAAGGGAAACAATCCTTTCTTTTCCTTTTTATTCTGTCTAAGCTATAAGCCTATTGATTGGCATCAATGCAGGATGGTTCTTTTTCCCTCAGTTTGCTGGCCTATATTATAATCATGCACAGACCCACCCAGAATTTACTAATCTGCTAGGCAGTTCTTACTCAAGTCAACATATCATAATTAATGTAAATCAGACAAACACACACATCTTCTTAAACTATACTTAATCTCCAAACCCAAGTTCATAACTACACCTAATATGATATAACTCTTCTGCATACAAATGGAAATCCACTATTTCCCTTCCCAAAATAGCAAGTTTTTTCTTTAGGTAGGAGTTACTCTACTAATACAGTGGTGCCTCAGTTCATGAACACTTTTGTTTACAAACAATTCAGTTCACAAACAGAAGCATTTGGTAAAATTTTGGTTTTGTTTGCAAACTCTGTATCAGATGACAAACACACCTGTGGCCATCTTTCCCACATTAACACAAATGTGGCCATCTTTTCCAAAATTATAGAACAAATTAAGTTCATGAATCGAGGTACTACTCTTTCATAATTTAATATTATAATGTAGATTTGACAATTCTTAAGAACCCAATATTAAGTTAATCAGCATTATGTTACAAAGAAAGAAAAGAAACATATTTAATACATGTGTATATGTGCACAAGCATATTAATAAAACAGGAATGAAATACTCATGACAGTTACAAGCTTTGTTTCTGTAACTGGTCATGCATTCATAGTTGGTATTTATAACTCCTTTCTTCGATTACCCATTCTTTATTCCTTGGCCTTCAGCAAAAATCTCAGTAGCTCTTGGTTCTTTACTATCTGCATTTCTATCAGCATTCTGGTCTTCTGACATCCAACCAGAATCTTCCATCTACCTGTTTATTTATAAGATCGTAGGGCTTCTCTAGACCTTTCCATCTCTAAACCTTTCCAAAATCCTACTGAGAAACAATTTCAAATATTTTTAAACCATATAGTCAGTTATAGTCATGGGAATGATCCCACTCTTGGTACCAAAAATCTGTCTTACTCACTTTCTCGTGTCTTCAACAAAATATTGGATACCCACAACTTAAAAGAGGAGAGGTTTATTTTGGCTCACAGTTTTAGAAGTTTTAGCCCATGGTTGGCAGGCTCAAACACAGAAATGGCACGGTGGAAGGGCCTGGTGTAGAGGAAAGATCCTCCTGTCATGGTGGCCAGAAAGGAGAGAGAGAGAGAGAAAGAGAGAGAAAGAGAGAGGGGAGAGGGGAGAGAGTGAGAGGAGCCATGGAGGGAGATACATCCATCAAGATCACAGCCACAATGACTTGCTTCTTAGGAGGATATCCCACCCCTAACAGGCCATTACACTATGGATTCATCAGTGGGTTAATCCACTGGTAAGTGTAGCACCCCTATGATACCTTCCAAGAACACAAAGGTGTTGGAAAACACCCCATATCTAAACCATAATTCCAATGTTCCATAAAATCCCAGTCGAAAGAAATTTGGTTTATCTAGACTTTTCCAAATTAATATATATTTACATCTGATATATGTCTTAGTTACTTATATGTATTATTTTATGAAGTATTATTTACATAAATGTATCATTTACATATGTAATATTTGTCATAAAGATTTATATTATACAATTAATAAATTTTATGTATTTAGTATATGTGCTACTGAAGCAAGCACAGATTTTATGTATTCAGAATTTTCCAACTTGATTAGATTTTAACCATTCTTAAATTAGATTCAGTTAGGTATGTACAGCACAATTATTTATTACCTTACAAAGTAGATTTTATCATTATGGCCCTATCTTTCATTGAAGATACTGAAAGAAACCACCTTATATAGTCTGTTACTCCCACAGGAAGAATGCAGAACATTTCCCAAGATCTCCATTATAAAATTCTAAAGTATGTTTCAGAGCTAAATACTGTGTTAGAAGAGAACCAGAAACAATTGTACTTTTTCATTAAAGACAATGAAAATTGTGTGACTGATTATGCTTTTCTGTTTTGCTTTGGCTGCCGGGAAGCTCTGAACCAAATCTTCCATCTATCTGTAGCAGCCACATGAGTTCTTGTTATCAAAACATATTTGAAATTATTTTTTCCAAATCTCCACATTATACTTTTGATCTGTAATTTAATTTCTGAGTAGTTTTTTTTTGTACGAAAGATCGAACTCAGGACCTTGCGCTTGCAAGGGAGGTGGCAGAACCACTGAGCTAAATCCCCAGCCCCTATCTGAATAGTTTTTGATTTATATTTTAATGTTTTTTTTTCCTTTCATGTCAGTTTTCTATTGCTGCTATAACAAATCAACACAAAGTTAGTGGCTTAAAACAATACAAATTTATCTTTTAGCTCTAGAGTCAGAAGTCTGAAATGGTTTCACTGGGCTAACACCAAGGTATTGAATGGAGCTATTCCATTTGGGGGGTGTAGGGAAGAATCCCTTTACCTGCCTATATTTCTGGACTTTTGGCCCCTTTCTCAGTTTTCAAAGCCAGCAGTGGATCATCATATTTCGCCCTAGCTCTGGCCCTGATATTATACCTTCTTCATTTTCTTATAAGGAAGGTTATGATCCTTATCAGCATCACCCTGATTACCCATGACCCTTGGCTTAATCACATGTGTAAAGCTCTCTTTGCCATGTGAGATAACATTCATGGAGATTAGAAAAATGGGCATTATTGAGAAACCATTATCTGCCTAGTACAACTTTCCATGTATCACCTCTTTCTGTAGACAGAGGCCAGTTACATAGCAGTTATTTTCAAATTGGTAGCTTTGCTATTTCAGATTTTAGCTGGTGTTTTTATTTTAATATTTTAATTTAGAAAATTACAGCATTATAAAGACAGCAGATGTAGGTGTTGACTGTAATAATTATGGTACGCTGTGCATCCTGTTCTCAAGGATGGAACACGGGCTTGTTTGTGTTAGAGCTCAGTTATTTGTTTTTCAAGGCCCATTTTAGTAGAGAACATTAGGATGTGCTATTGTCATACTTTAGAGCAAGATTTGATTTAGACATGAATTTTGTAGTATAGTAAGCAGTTTTAAAACTAATATTAAATATTTTGAGAATTTTTCATCAATTATTGGCTTGACAGAAGCCTCACTTATTAGTCCCTGTAAAGGTGCTTTGTAAACTACTCTTCCAGTTGTATGAAAAGAACATTGACTTAGACCAATGTCTCTGATATTTTCCATTGAATATTTTGTTTTAATTCTCCAGCACTATGGTACACTATTGTTAGTTCTAAGTTTAAAATATTGCTATCAAAATGAAGCTGGGGCTGACTTGCTTGCACTGGTTCTTTTGAATAACTGTGTTTTTTTGCTGTTTTTTATTTAAGTGGCTAGATGGTAAAGAAATAGATCGTTCAGAGAGGATTCAGGCACTGCAGAACTATTCAGTAATTGAACAGCAAATCAGAGATCAGGAAAAAGCTTACCACCTCAGGAGAGCCCAGGAGAAAGAAGAGGCTCTGAGGAAACTGGCGGAGCACTGTGAAAATGAAGGCAAGAAGAGGAGGAGCAGCCCGGGCTTTGACGGGCTTCCCTACCCAGACACCCACGCGACACCGTATGTAAATCAGCAGTGCTGGCTTCCTAGTTCACTTTTTCTGTATTGAAACAGCAAGCTGTATTTCTCCCCGAGATATTCACTGTATCACTTATATTCTAGAAGATTAATTTGAAGAACAAATATGATGTAAAATTTCAGGGGAAGAATATGAGCATTCCATTGTTTGTGAAAAAAAATGACTCTTCAGACTAACAACTTTAATTTGCATCTAAAATCATCCCCAGAGAGGTTTCTATAAAACACGTACAGGAAAGATGAGTTAACAGGTATACTTCGATTTATAAAGTAGGAATTTTAGAAAAGTTAAATGCACTTCACCTGATTCTAAATTGAATAATTCTGATTGCATCCTAGAAACATTCTATTTTATGAATTATGTAATGAATATATTTTAATATGATTAATAATTCTCCAATTCATCCTTTTTCTGAATCTCAATTTTTCATGATTTAAGTGAATTGCAGCTATACTTGGTTGATTTGATTCCATACAATGAAAGCTTTAAATATTTACATTATACAATCATTCAAAATCGAGAAAACAACAATTATAAAATAATTCAGACACACATAGATGTTTAAATGATAATTAAATGGGCAGCTATTGCTCCACCACCCAGATATATCACAACCATGTTTGCTTTGGCTTTTTGAAAAGCAAGACATGAAATATAATTAAGGGAAAGAAGCCCACTGAGTAGTTAGTTCTCCTCTGTGCTGTTCCTTCACACTCGGTGGTTTCTAGCACCCGGAAGCCTGCATATACTTGGCATATGTTTGTCCCACCCGTACTTCTAATAGCTTTTCTGTGCAGTCACCACTCCTTACACAAGAGTAGTGTGTTCCCACCTGTGCACGTGTTTAGCATGGGTGATACCCTTTCACAGCTTTATTTTTCACGCACCAGGTTTGGGCATTTCTGCATATGAATGCATATAAAACTAATTCATTTTAACTATGGGAATAACATTCCCTCAAATGAATAAATTGCAATTTTTCCAGAGGTGATACCCAAAACATTTGGCAGGCAGGGATTCATTGACCCTGGCTACTCAGAAGTTGTCCCGGCTGTCACAGCCTGCATGGTCTCACCAGTGGGCACCAGTGGCTACTCAGCCCAGGAGCAGCCAGCCCTCTTAGCATGGCCATTTATGTTGCTTGCTCTGTTTCACTTTCTCAGGCAGTGTTACACACGTGTCCTTGTGCACATGTGAACATTTCTGTCTAGAGTATTTTAACAGCAACACTGCTATGTCCTCAACTATGACCTCTTTTTAGCTTCATATGTATTACCAAATTGTCTTTTAAATTTATACTCATATGTCAATAATACAGAAAAAGTCCCATGGTATGATTTTTAAAACTATTAACTACAAAGTTTGTTGTTAAATGGCACCCATTTTTATTAAATTTGCATTTATGTAGGTAGATATGAGTTTGAATATCTTAAATACATTCTTATGTGTTTATTGGCTATTCACATTTGCTCTTTTCAGTCACTCTGCTTATTTTTAATACATTGTAGGGTTTTCTCCTTATTGATGTGTAGTTCTTATGTGTTCTGCATACAAATTCTTGGGTGGTTATATGCTTTGTAAATGTCTTCTCCCAGTCTGTCACTTGGCTTTAACTATAAGTGCTTCTATTTTATAAAAAGCAAAAATAGTTAAACTTTCTGGTTTTGTTTCTGAGATTCACCATTATGCCAGGGTCATACCTGTCTATCTGGAATTAACCTTTGTCAATAATACAGGGTAAGGTACTATTGGTTTTCAGATGGATAGCTAATTATCTGTACACCTTTTATTAAATTTCTGTTCTTTCCCTGCTGATCTGAAATGCCACCCGTACTACACACCTTCTGAGCATGTATTTCTGATTCCATTCTGGGTTCCTTCAACTGCCCCTTAGGAGTCCTTCCACTTGGTTTTAATTTCTACAGATTTATAGTAAATTTAGGTATTTGGTAGAATATATTCTCAGTTTTCAAAATTATCTTGGTTATTCTTTCTTCTTTACTTTCTTGCATGAATTTTAGAATCGACTAATCAAATTCCCTAAAAATCTCTAGTAGAACTTTAAGTTGTGTTTAATTTATATGTTAAATGGGAGAATGGTGACATCTTCATGACAGTTTTTTCTTACTGAACTTTGGAATAGCTCTTTGTTTATTGAGATCTCCTGAGTTCTTCAATAAGATTTTTAATTTTCTCTATAAAGGTCTTACACCATCCTTCATTAAATTTGTTCCTAAGAATCTTTTGGAATTGGATTTTTAAAATAAACATGTAATTGGTTCTTGTTGATGTGTAAAGAGAGGAATGATTTCCAGATACTGATAAAGATTAAGCAATCTTACTGACCTCCTTAAAAGATATACAGTAGTTAGCCTATAGATTATCCTGTGTTTTCTATGTAAAAAACACATTGTTTATAAATACAGACATTAAGATATTTTTTCAGTCCTTCTGCCACCCCTGCATTTTCTTCACGTTACCCACAAAGTTCTCCAGTATGGAGCAGAACAGGAGCTGTAAAAATGGTGTCTCTGTCATGTTCCTCACATAAGCAATGTTTTCAATCCCTCGTCATTAAGTATAAGGTTAATGGTGGAGTTTGGTAAAGTTAAGTAAGTTTCCTTCTATTCTCTTTTGATGAGGAGTTTCAATCATCACATTTATTGAATTTTTATTAAATGCTTTCCCTGCTTCTATTAAGAGAATTATGCTTTCCTATTGATGTGTTGGATCACACTAATTGATTTCCTAATATTAAATTATCCTTGAATTTCTAGAGTAAACCCACTTTATCCATGATATATTTATTAATGCATTGCTGTGTCCTTTTTGTTAGTATCTTATTTATAATATTTGAACCTATGTTAATAAGTGAATTTATGCTATAATATCCTTTCCTTACTGTATTTTTTCCTGGTGTTTTGCAGCAGGATTATAGTGGGCATACAACCTTCTGGGGGTCATATCCTATTCTTGGCTTTTAAAAGTTTACACAAGTTAAAAATCTCCTGCTCTCATCTTTTAGTAGTAGGCATATAGCTGAATTCCTTGCAGATGCCCACTTGCTGTCTCATAGGACTGGCTGATCCTTCCCACTAACCACTGTCACCCCATGCAGCCTATGTGAACAGAGGCCCGGACAGTCTAGGGACGTCATTGAGCCAGGGGGTGTTGACTTAGCTGGGGAAGAGTAAGCAACCTTCCAAGGCTGTGGGAAGAAACAGCACAGAGACTCTGAGACTACAAGAGGGAGAGATGAACATTTCACTTGCAGGTAGATACAGCCTGCTTTCAGCCTGGAGAATGGACAGGATGGGAAGTGAGCTGGAACAGCCTGGAAGAGAGGATCAGGAAAGACACAGCACAGATAGAAACAGCTCACAGTGCAAGCATTTCTCATGGCCAAGTGCATATGGCAGAAGAAGCTGGGCTTGGGGCGTCCTAAAAGTAAGACTGCCCAAGAGGGCAGCAGCTGTAGGAGAGCATGGGTAAGCTAGATTATCAATGGAAGAAGCTGACCAGCTGTCACAGAAGGGCAGCAGGGAAGTAAGTACATTGACCATCGTGACAGGGAGAGATGTCCTTAAAAGACACTTACAGTATCTCTGAGAACTGCAGGGGTGCCCGCAAGAGGAGAACTGAGTATCTGAGTGCTGGCCCTGGAGAGGGCAGCAGCAGTGAGGTTCTAACAACAGTGGTCACGGCAGAAATGCTCACCTCCTCCCAAACTCTGAAGGCAGGGGACCTGGAAGGACCCAATGAGATGGGGCACAGGGCCAAGGAACAGAGGAGCGGAGGGGGATAGGAATGGCTGCTGTGCCTCCTGGCCACAGCTCTGCCCTGAGCTGGACAAGGGCAGACAGAAGCTTAGAGAAGGAAGGGGTTGGGTTTAGGTGTAAGTCTGAAGTTTTCTGACACTACTGACCTTCTAATGCCTGCAAGTGAGTTTTAGCTGAAATGAGCATGTTCTCAAACGTGTTACAGGACTACAGGGTCAGCTCCTGTGTGGGAAGAGGGTTCTGAGAGCAGGGCTGAAGGCAGTGATTGAAAAGGAGATGTTGTTCAGATGCTAATGGACTTCATTTTATCAGCCTGCTACCTACACTTGTGCCCATTTTGCCTTTGGAGGCTTATGTTGGTTAGCTTATATTCCTGGTAGTTTTTCTTAAGTAGAGTTATTTTTATTTTATTTTATTATTATTCTAAATTGCGGAAGGTAAAAGTAAGCCAATTAGTCACTCTCCAGGAAGGAGTCACTTAATGAGAGTGGAACCAATTATTCAGTGGCAATTAGCTAGAGTCTTGTAGAATATTATAGATCTCCCTCATACACTGTTTTCTCAATACCATAAAGAACTAGAGGGGTATGGCATTCAGTAATTTCCATATTTTGTTTATTAAAATACCTAGGTACATTAATATATAAAGAATCTAAGCAGGATTTTATTCTATGTCATTTATATTATTTAAATATCATGTCTTACTACTTTTTCTGCATCCCCTGTAAATCATCTTATTTGAAGGTCAACCAAATAAACCTTTTATGTTACCCCATGTCAGTAACAACAAAACCTGACATTTACTGAGTATTTGCTATTTGACAGATTTGGTACTAAAGGCTTCATGTACCTTTTTCATTTAATATTATTTTCTAACAGAGTATATATTCTAAAGAGAGATGAGAAGAGAGCAACCATACCCAACCTTTGCTGTTTGAGTAATGTCATTTTCTCCTGCTGGAGTAGAACCATCTCCTGAAAGTGGTGTCATGGTCTTTCTTGAGCAGGATTCTGTCTCTGATGTCTGACACTCAGACGACAATCCCAAAATATTTCTTAAACTCATGTTGAATGAATGTTGACTATTTCATATAATACCCATTCAGTGATGTATAAAGACATCATTTAATTCTCTGACAGTCCAAGAAACAAGGATAAAGAGAGAACAGAACACCATTACAATATTAAAGCTAAATGATCAGTAGGTAACTATGAAAAATAGAATACGTAGAGGCCCTACTGTGAAAGGTCTCATATGTCCCACCGGAGTTTTGAGAGAGAGAGAGAGAGTGTCTTTAAAGGACCTGAAAGCAGTGTGATCCAGTGTGCCCACTAGAGCCAGCACTGGGAGCAGTAGAGAGAGTGGAGCTGTCTGGAATAGGCCTGAATCTGGGTGGTTATTAAATCTCCATGGCCTCTTTGCTTGTTTGAACATCAGCAGTTCCTGCCAAATGCTGTATGCATTCCCAGGCTCCACCCAGATCTACTGAACAAACTTTCTGATGGGAGGCCAGGAAACTGTACCTTTTATAAGGCTCCCCAGGTAATGCCTATCAACCAGGCCTCTGAGGCCACCATTTGGACACTGCGCTGACAGGATGAGAGCAGGCTTCAGTGCAGTGACAGTGACTTCCTCCAACTTAGCTCTCCTGATGCGGACTATATTTCTAACACACACACATGCGCACACACGTTATGTTTAGATATGCATATATGGGAGAGTGGGTAATCTATATTATCCTGAGCCTGAAACCAGGACAGCATAGCTCAGGTAGACACTCAGAAGCATTTTGTCCTTCAAAGGTAGGAAGTTAACCTAAAGAAAGCATATGAGATGTTTATGGGGCAATTGCAAAGGATGAAACTCTTGATCTTACGTGCCTTGTGTCTGCTTGTTTGCCTTAGCCCATCTACTTTAGAGAGCAAAGGCCATGTCCAGGTACCAGAAATACAAGAAGCACATGACACAAAGAGATTAAATGAAAGTGAAGATGACCTGGAATTCTGGAACAAACCCTCTGTGTTTACTCCTGAATCTAGATTGGAAACTCTTAGACATATGGAAAAACAACGGAAAGAACAAGAAAAATTAAGGTATTATATATTTTCCTATCATTAAAAGTGAAGCAGTACTCTGAAGGACCATGTTTTCATGATTGTGAATCATTTTTCTCGTTATTTGTGTTAAGCTTTTCCTAGCCATCACACAAACTTTGCTTTTATTGGATTGTATTGGGTTATGCTCATTAATATCAAAGTGCTTCTTTATGAAAAAAATGAATCATGACCTTTTAGGTAAGGTTTGGTTTGTTTGTATGTTTTTGGCATTTTAACTATTGTATGGAAATCTAGGACTAGCATGGCCTCGGTTAGAAATACTAGTTGTCAGGGTACAAATAAAAAGGTCATTGTGGGATGAATGAACTCCTTCAAGTTTCCAAATTTCCAAAATGGAGAATTAGAATTCATTTCATTTGGCATTTTATTTTCACAATATAACTTTCTTGGACATTTAACAATATGATTTCATTTTTTGAAGTGTTTACATATAATTTGATGATTTGTTGGAAGTTAAGACGTTTAAGCTATCTTTTCAAAGTATTCTTCAAAGACAGGCTCCGTGTCATTCCATTTCACATCATTGCCTATGTCTAGCATGTAAAATATATCACTTATAGGGATGCTTGTAATTTATCATCTTGAGAACCGTGATGAATTAACTGTGAAATACAGAAATCTGCATGATACGGAGATGAACTATACATAGTATATCTTCCTGTGATTATTAACTGAAAACAAGAAACTAAGAGTAGGAAGACTATTAGAAATCTCTGCTGTTTTCATAAAATATTCATTTATTAGAAAGATAGGGAGGTGCAACAACCAACAGTGAAATGTTGCACAAGACTTGTCTGTAGAAGTGGTGGTTGCATGGCCAGGCTCCCACCGCTTTGGGAGGAGTGCTGGCCTACCATTGGAAGGTGTGTGTTCTGACCTGTCACTTGCTCTCTAAGTGGCATTGGAAGTACGTAAGTTCCCCTCATCTATCTCCTCATCTGTTTTCTTATGTGTTAAATAGGCCTTATCATACCTGTTTTGGCATTCTACTCTTTTGTTAAGAAAATCAGATGAGCCAATAAATGTGAATGTATTTTGCAGACTTGAGAGCCATTTGAAATGAAAATTCCACATGTTTACAGAATATGGACGTGTGTGTGTGCGCGTGTGTGTGTGCATGTGAGACAGGGTTGGGAGGATGCTGAGCCTGAAATCAGGGGGATTTTGTTTTGCTTTGTTTTATTCTGTCTTTGATCCCTGACACATAAAAGAGTAAGGCTGAGTTGGTTGGAGGTCTAATTGCTCTGTGTAGTGTGCCGAAGTCTACCCAGTCCAGGGGTCCCCGAAATGTTTGTTTCTGCTTGGTCATTTTCATTAGCTGGCGGAATCCAGAGACAGAAACAAGCCTTTCTTCTTAACTTGGCTCTTGTCCACAATGAGTAGGGTGAAGCCAGGTATTTCCGGATACCATTTAATTCTTCTGAATTATTGAAATAGCTCCTTAAATGGAATGGGAGTCCCAGTCTGAGATACAGAAGAAGGTAATTTTTAAAAATAAAGTCAACTGACACAAATCTCTGTTAAAAAGACAGTAGAAATTCAAAGCAAACATAGCCTACAATTCCATCATCTAAATAAATTTGTTCATCTTTTAGATCTTGTCCATATACACCTATTCAAGTTTTTAAAAATATTTTTCAGGATGTTTTGAATAGAAATTATTGACTAAGTTCATAATAATTTCCTTTTTCTTTCTTTCTTTTTTTTTTTTTTTTTTTTTGTAGAATCCTTGCCTGGCATGCTTGGGGTTGTGGACTTAACCCCAGCACCACAAAAAATGGACTTATATTTTATACACTATATTTGTTTTCACTAAAATATGTCATTTTTTAGATCAGTAGGGAAAGAGCAAAAGCATCTTTAAATAGTTGTAAGATATTTCATAGAATGAATATCATCCCTCCACTGAGATAGATGTTCATGAGTTTTCAGTTTTGCCTCTGCAAATGAATGTGTGAGGAGTATGTTTCTACATAGATCCTTGTGTACTAGTATTTTTATTTTTATAGAATAGACTCTAATTGATATTTTAAAAATTATAATTGTAACTAAAACAGAAACTCTATACACAATTGACAGTTACCTGGGTAAATCATGCATAAAATAGACTCATTTAAATATTCATGGGTATTCACAGGTATTTCATGAAAAGGAATTTTCTTCTCCCATCCAATTTATCTGGGTCACATTTTTGCTTTACAGATATAGATAGAACCATATAAAAAATCTGACTTGATTAATCTCCAGCATAAAATTTAAAAAATTGACTTAATAAGTGAATTGTTTATATATTTACTAATTTTGATTAATTTTTCTGAAACTGTCACCAAACTATATTAATTACTTTTATATTCTTTTTTACTTTCTCCTCCCCCATTGCCTCTTGTTTGCACCCATCCCCAATCTTCAGTGAAAAAAAGAAGGGAGTGAAGCCACCGCGGACTTTGATTACTGAATCCGGGAAGGCCCTGAATGTCAATGAGCCCAAGTAGGTGAGGCCAGGGGACCAGAAGGCCCGGTGACACACTCGCTCTCCAAAGAATATGTCCACTGCTCTGAATGAGTCATATGAGCCTAATAATAGTGTCATTTTGTGCATATTTAAAAGCCAAACATCTATTATGTTTTAAGTGCATAATTTCCTTGGCATCTAGAAAATGGTCTTGACATATGGAATCACAGTTATTTATGTATTCCATGAAAGTTTAGACCACATACAATTTTGTGCTTGAAAATTGCCACTGCATTATTGTTGTGTTGATGAATTTTTAAAACCCTGCCATGACCAAGCTGGCTGAGAATGCTGATATATCTTCTTACCATCTACATTATATTCTGGAACATATCTTCTAAGCATTCAAAAGCTGGGGAAATAAATTGATATAAATACCTCAGTGAAGTTAAAGAGAGAAAAAATATTCAAACTGGAAGTCTTCAAGTCTAATAACATCTGATCTACCCTATCTATTTGTCTTAAAGTTAAAAACTAGAAAGCAGCCAAAAAAAGGCCTTCTGTAGCCTAAATAGAGACAAACAAGCCTATGGATTAAATCTCATTTGGTCCTCTCCATTGTTTTATTTGCTGTGTTATTACCATGCTAACAATGAGGACACTGTCTAGAATCATTCGTCTTCCCAGCAGTCATGGGCAGTAGGCAGGATTTCTCTTTCACAGGTCTAAAACCTGAGCCAGGAGCTGAAGCGACTTGCCCATGGTTGCGTAACTATTAGGTGGCGCGTGCATCTTGCCCATGCACACCCAGTTCTAGGGATTTGCAGATCACCCCTCTCATCTCCCCCCGCACCCCACTTCTTTATCCAGCAGACAGGATGCAGCAGCAGAACCTAGGCCAGGCCCCAGGTGCTCAGCAGTGAATTCAACGGGGGTTATCTTCATGGAGCTTACAATCCAGCAGTAAGACACTGTCAGCCTATACCGGCTACAAGGGGGACCCCCAGAGCTCCATGCAACCGTGGTAAAACCACTGCTCCTCCCATCACTCTGCCAACCCTCTCTACCTCTAAAATCAATTCACTTAGGAAGATGCTTTGAAGACTGAATTACTCACCGCCTCCCCGTGCTACTGCCTACTCCCTCCACGCCCTTGTCACCCTCCTAGCCCATCTACCTCCTCCAGAATCTGACCCTCACATGGCTGTACCCCAGCTCACTCTGTCTCCCCTCCCGACCCCCACCTCCTCCTGTGCCCTCTCAGGTTATGGCTCATCAGCAAAGCCTGCATCCCCAACCTTCCCTCCCCATGTGCCATCTTCTCCTTCCACTACCTGAAGCTGAGCCTTCTGCTTCCACTGCCACTCTGTGTGAGCCACGGAGGAACACCCACTGCTGCTTTCGGAGACCTTCTCCTCTTGCCCTAAACTTTCCTGGATCTTCGAGGCACAGGCTATCTGAATGAACTGCCCCTTCCCCCTCTTACTGCAATTTTCAGGTTAACCCAAGAAGTCCTCAGCCCTCTACGCTCTCCACTCACTCCAGCACTGAAACCTCCGTCTGGGCCTCTCCTCCCACTGTCAGCTGTGGCTACCTCATCACATGTCACCGGGAGCCCTGTCTGCTCAGTTCTCCAACCACTTCACTTCCAACCATCTAGTTCCCACCTCAGCTTCATTCTTAGATCTACACCATCAGTGTCCCTTCCACGTTTGTCTTCTTCACCTCATTGAGCACCATCTCCTACATTCTTGGGAACCCCCTGCGCCTCAACAGTCGCTGGCCCCATTTACACATGAGTCAGTTCACCCTACCATTTTTCTCATTGTCCCCCGCTCTCCTGTCCTCACCATCTCTCACGATGCCTTGGTATTCAGGTTCCTCACAGAAATCAGTCCAGGGCACCTCTTGCTGTTGTCATTCAGTCTGTGCTGGTGCTCATATCTCTGCCTCCCTCCTGCCAAGGACTTAGCCATCAGTGACCCCTGCTCTTCTGCATCAGTTCTCTCCACCCTACTCGACCAACACTACCATGAACACAAATTTTATTAACTTCTACCTTAAAGCAGAACAAAGCCAAGGTCTCCATTTCCCCAGTGTCCTGTGCAGCCACCAGTCTACTTCTCCCTCTTAACGTTGTGTGTACTCAGTTTCCAATTTCTTGCTTCACATTTCTTCTTGAATCCACTCTAGCTTTTCTACTGTTGGAAACATCTCTGGTCATATCATTTCTATGGTAAGTGTTCAAAGTTCAGTTCCCATCTCGCCTGACCTAGCAAAATTGGTCTAATTGAGCATTATGTTTCTTTTTAAAGCAGTGGCTTGCCTTTGCTTCTGATTTTTCTTTTCCTTCCTACTACTCCTCTTATGATTGACTGGATCCTTTCTGTTTTGTCTCCTGTGTGCTCTGGAGAAGACTTGTCACTCTTTGAGGATCTCTTCGAATCCCACATTGTTGAACACTGTCTTTGTATTACTCATAACCAGATCCAGCCTCTTCCCTGAGCTCAATACGTGAGCATTCTATTGGCTTTGTGACCTCACTGTGTTAAAATAAAGCAGTACTCACAAATAATGGCTAAAGAAGAACTCTTGCTTTCTAGCTAGCCCCCTCTCTTCAAGAATGTGCTTGTCTCCCACTGTTCTCCATCACAGTACCAAGCATCCAATCATTTGCTGAGACCAAAACCCTTGGGTTCCTGCTTGACTCTTCTCTGTCTCATTTTACCAGTGATCCCATGAGTTCTTCCTTCTGTACCAGTAGCCTCCAACCACTTCCCAGTAACTCTACCATCATAACCTTAGCACAAGTCAGTACTTCCTTTTGCCTAGACAATCGATAGCTTGTTAAGTAGTCTCCATGATTCAATGGTTGGCTTCCTACAAAAAATAGGAAGGCAGGAAAGGCAGTCACTCTCTTTCTTAAGGAGAATTCTGGAAAGCACTATACAATACTTTCCCTCACAAAAGTAAATCACATGTCCTCACTCAAGTGCAAGGGGGACTGGAAAATGTAGTCTTTATTCTGCATAGCTATGTGTGTGGTTAAAAGGAGGGGTTCTATCTCCAAGGGTAAAGGGCAAGGAGAAAGTGGGCATGAATAGGAATCGATGCCAGAGAAAAAAATCTCTGAAATTAGCTTTCAGGAATACATGGAAGGAGAGTTCAATTTGGCTGGATTGGGGAATAAGCCATCAAAGCAGGGGAGACAGCACAGAAAAAGTCTCCAGGGATGAGATCAAGAATCATGGCTTGCTGGGGATTTAGCTCAGTGTTCTGGTGCCTGCTTCAGGAGTGCAATGACTGAGTTCAATCCCTGGTACCAAAAAAAAAAAGAAGAATGCCTAGATTTTTTGAGACTGCAAAGAAGCCCCCTGCATGGCTGAGTCTTTGAGGGCAATGAGAGTGCCTGCCACAGCAAACCTGCTGTCAGGAGCCACATCTGTAGCCAACTTTGCATTTTCCAAACAGTTTAGCTGATATTCTTTAATGTTGTTGGATATATATATATGCACAATAAGTGAGGTGCTCAAAAGGAAATGGACCAAGTAATTCTGAAGAGTATATTGACAGGATGGAAACTATGCTTAGGACTCAGCTTCATGGTACCACTGAAAGACACGGGACTTTAAATCCTGCCTCTCCAGGCTTCCCTGGCCTTTCCCCTGACTATGGCAGCCTTGTTTCTTCACCTATAATGTGAAGGTAATAAATCCCTGGGGGCTTTAGCCTTCCCCAGGGCAATGGAAAGGTCAGCAGCGAGAGGAGGGGCAAAAATGTGGCCAGGAAAGGGAACAAAGACAGCACTGTTTACATTTTTTAAGAATAGGAGTATTGGCTAAAGGAGATGCAAGTATACTTAGACATCCATTAATTCCGGTGTTTCATTTGCTTTTGGCGAACTCAAATGAAATGGAAAAGAAAACTTCATCCACCAGATGTTTCCATCTCTGCACCAAAGCTGATTGTTTTTATAAACTTGACCTTAAGATTCTCATATGTAAACAGTGCAAACATAAGTAATTTATTTTTTTGTGGTTTTTAAATAAATTTTATTTTATCCCATTTCCCCCAATCCCCCTCCCCTCCCTATGCACAAAAGCTTTGTTTCCATTTTTTCCCTTCTATTTTCACTTTTTTCCTTGTCACTTCCTCCGTCTATCCCTCCTCCCTTGTTCCCCTTCCCATTTGAACACTTTCTTCCCATTTCCCACCATCTATTATGCATCTCAGTCCTTATTTCCACATTCAGTTTTTCACACCAGGGAAACAATGTGGTATTTAAACATGTGTGTCTGATTTATTTTGCCTAAGGCTATGGTCTCAAGGTCCATCCATTTAGCGAGAAATATTTCAAGCTCATCTTTTTTTTATGGTAGAGTAGTATTGCATCATATAAAAAAGCACATCTTCTTCATCCACTCACCAGTTGATGGGTACTTGGGCTGCTTCCAACATTTACCTATTTCAAACTGTGCTGCTATAAACATGGGTGTGCACATATCACTGTGGTATGATGTTTTTAATTCTTTTGGGAGGATAACAAGAACAGGTATAGCTGGGTCAAAAGGGACCTCTAGTTTTAGTTCTTTGAGAAATCTCCACACTGATTTCCACAGTGGTGGCACCAGTCTACACTCCCACCATCAGTGGAGAAGGGTTCCTTTTTCCCCACACCCCGCCAGCATTTGATATTGGTTGATTTCTTGATAGCAGCCATTCTTTCTGGAGATGACCAGTGATTTTGAATAATTTTTCATATATTTATTTGTCATTTCTAATTCTTTATCCGAGAAGTGTCTTTTTATTTCAGATGACCATTTTGCATTGGGTCTTTAAATTTGAGGGTTTTGTTTTTTTTGAATTCTATATATTCTAGATAATAGTCCTTTATCTGAATAGCTGATAAAAAATTTTTCCTCTCTGTGGGTTGTCTCTTCAGTAATTTATTGATATGTTTGTAGGTTTTTGTTGAAATTTTAAAATTAACATTCTTATTTTATTGTCCAACTACCAAAATAAGTTTGTCATTCGAGGTAATTATTATCAAATTTATTTTGGATTATGTGATGAGATTATGTGTACAGTATTCCTAAGGATATCTTTTCCTCCCAAATGTATTATTTTTAGGCTTGACTTCTTTCTGAAAGATGATGAAAAACATAACCAGATCATTCTTGACCTGGCTGTCTATAGGTAAAGATATTTTATTATACATTTGTATTTATTATCCGTCAGTTTTTTATTCTTAGTAACAATCTTTTGAGCTCTGAAACACTTGGAAATGTGATTTAGCTTGCCATGTGGTTAAGTGAAGTCCCATTTTTTGAAACAGAGAACTCACTGTGATTTTTAAAAGCATGAAAATGAAAGACGAAATTAATGAATGCACAATGCCATGGCTGTGCTTACTGGAATATGGAAAGTGAAGTTTAAATAATTCTCAGAGCTTTGCTGATTTCTGGCATTGGTTTGGCGGGGACCCTCTCTGTTCTTATGACTGCCACGTTACTTTTGTAGTGCTCTTTATTTTTTCAAAATGCTTTGACATAATAAGAAGCCTCTGTCCCTTACCCCATCTTGGAGAGCTGGGGTGTAACAATCGGCCTGCTGGTCATCTTCCCACCCACACCCTATACCAAGGGACAGGAGTGGCAAGATGTCCTTCTTGCTGCTGTCTTCTCCCCACAACTCTATGGCCTTGACATAACCCTCAGCCCATATAACCTTCCACCCTTCCTCCTGGAAGCTCTCTGAAGATACCCAGTTCACTTCACTTTATCTCTTGAAGGCTTAGCTGTGTTGTAGAATGTGTCACAACTTCCTTCCTTTTATATCTTACAGATACTCCATTGTATGGACATACCCCACAATGTTATTGTTCCCCAGCTGATGGGCCTTTTTGTTTCCATCTTTCGCTGGTAGGGATGTTATGGTCTTACCCCGATCCCTTCCTCTTCACACCAAGCTATCTCCCACTCCTTGTATTCATTTACTACCTGTAATGAGTTTCCAGCTCTTTCCCTGCTGACTTTATGGCCTCTGCTCCTGCAGATCAACAATCAGTATTTATGTTGTTTTCAGTTAAACATTCATTACTTTATTCTTTTATGTCCTTTTACCCAGTGGGAAGCTGGGTCCTAACACTGGGCAGTCCTAACACTGAGGAACTGGCAGTTCACCTCAATTCTAAGATTTCAGACTAGATACAGAGGCCACCTATAACTCATCTACAGGTGAGTTTATTGAAAAATGTTAGATTGTCAGAGAAAGAGAATACTACGCCTTCAAGCATTAAGGTGGGCAAGTCCCCAGATCGCAGTTGCACTGAGTGAGGTCTCAGGTTACATTTGTAAGATTAGCTGGGTCTTTCAAAGAATATCTTGTCCTTCCTCTGAGGTCACTGTCGTTTTACAAAGAAAATGGACTGTCTGGACCTCCTAGGTCCCTGTTTACTCCCTAGGTGGACATTTTCCATGTAGTTTGTTTTGAGAACTTAAGGTTTTTCCAATCCCTCACCCAGAGTCTGGTCTTTGTATGGGCCTTGGATCTCATCAGCACACCCCAAGGATGTTATATTCTTTTGAACTAAAGTTTGAAACCAGAGGTGTGTTTGGGTTTCATCTATTGCTAATGATTAAAAGAGCAAAGGAAAAAGGAAAAGCAACATCATGTCTGCTTTGCTTTTCAAAGCCTTTCTCCAGCCTGCTAGTCTCTAATTTTCTGCCCTGCACTTTCCACTTTTAAGCCCTATTTCTGGAGGTTAGTGAGTGTATAAAACTTTCCCTTTAACTCTGCTGGTTACTTCCTGTTCAAATAGAATCTCTCCTCATCCGCATGTATGTGGATTTTAAAGAGTGATATTTCTCCTGTCTGTGTAGTAAAACCCTTCTATTCCCATCATTCTGTCTGATGAATTACACTAAACCTCCTTGTTGACTCATGAGAATGTACATGAAATTAAATACATTCATTCATGTACATTTCCTCCCTTTATTCAACAAATATCTATAGAATACTTACTATGTGCTGGGCATGGGGAGACTGTAATGAGCATATTCATGGCTCACCCACTGCAGGGCATGGAGTGGGAAAAGGATAAAAACATCAAATAGCCAGGCATCTAATGAGTCATTACGGAGGAGAAGCGGCTGTAAAGGAGAGTGACAGTTATGCAGAATAACACTGTGTGTGTACGGGGTCGGGGTTTGGTGGTTGGTGCTGAGGGGTGGTTAGGAAAATTTGATGACATGAGCAATGAAGACAGAAGGATGAGGAGCAGCTTGCTCTGCATGGAACTGGCAGAGGACTGTTTCAGGCAAAGAAAGTCCTTGCAGGGAGGAATAAATGAATATATCAAGAGAACCTAAGCAAGGGAAAGAATATGTAATCCATTAAAGTAGTAAATATTTACACATTATGTTGTAAGAAAATTTGTATTTATTTTTATTATAATTTTTATTAAGTAACATGATACCAGTTTATTGACACTAACTACGTATTAGGCAGTAGGCATGTGCTGTTATAGTGATCTTAGGTGGTAGGCACACTAATGTTCTCACTGTACTGATGAGGAAACTGACGCTCAGAAGGGTTAAGTTAAGGGATGAAAATGTGGTCTAAGGTACTAAAGGAGGGAGCAGTAGAATGAATTCCTCACAAGTCTGTAAGGCTCCAAAGCCTGGACCTGTGTGTGACCCCTTCCCTCCTCTCCCTTAATGTTGGTGATTTTCTTATCATTTTCTAATGTTCAGAGTCAATATTTTAAGGTAGATAAACATATACTTCTTATTTTAAGGAGTAATGTGAACTCCGAGTCTCTCATTTTCTCACAAGACAAGGAGAACCTGATCTTGGGGTAACTGACATCAAAAGAAGACTCTGCTTATTCAGCAGGATGTGACTTCAGGGCGGGGCGGGGGGGGGCGGGGGAGTGAGCTCCTCTCCCTGGAGAGATGGTCCCAGCACAGCTGCAGAGCAGCTGCTGGGCTCCAAGAGCACTGAGCAGGCAGGAGCTGGTGGCTGCAGGTCCCAAGTGTAGTAGACTCAGCATTCCAGGCTATTCACATTGTAGGGGCTTAAAATAAAATATTCATGAAAAAACACAGCAAGCTGTTTTTTGCAAACCTCTGGTGTTTCAGACCTTAGATATTTTTGGGTTAGGGGCAATCAATGCCAAGTGTAGTTGTAGGTCTAAAACTGTAACTGCTGATATATTGAATTTCCTCTGGACTAGGGATTAATGGAAGACTAATTTTTAAAAACCTGCTTAGCATGAAAATTTTACATGTTCTTCATTTGAAATGGTTCTACAAATGTGAATTTGTATCTGTAGGTTTTTGAACTTACTATTTTCGAAAACTTTAAGATTTGGTGTGTTTAATTTTGAAGGTATATGGATACCTCTTTAATTGAGGTTGACGTGCAGCCAATGTATGTACGAGTAATGGTGAAGGGAAAGGTAAGTGTAACCCTATAGAGCACAACAATTGCTAAAGCTAAAGCTTGGACTAAGCTGTGTTGCCATAAAAGTTTTAGAAACTGTTAGTAAAACAGAAAAAGAGAAAACCCAATCAGACTGCTACTTTTTAGGCAGATGGTTTTATAACAGCAATGGTGTGTGGGGTGAGGGGGAAGCAGCTGATGATTATGTTGCTTAAGAAAAGTAGTACTTTAGACACATGTCTGTTGTGTATTGCTTTTTTAAGGCCAGAGCATGATCATATATGTGATAGCCTATGCATAAAGTTATATAGTATACTCATTCTAAATTGGCAGTGACTTCATTCATAGTGACTGTAATCTTGACATTTCTAAATAGTAGTTTTTGCTGATTGTCAGCATTCATATGGGTTAACTTAAAGATATTAAAATGGAAATGTTATGTCTCGTCTACAAATTACTTTCCAGCCATCAACAGACTCATTACTATTTCACTATTTGTGGTCAGTAATTGTTCTTTAGATTATATGTTAAAATAGGTCAAATGGTTCGTGGATTTCAAGCATAGCATACATATTATTTTTTCTAATAAGTCTTACGTACATGTCTTAACTAAACAGTGTATCTTAATTGTGGTAAAAAGCTCTCCTGAGGTGACTTCCATGGAACATGCCCATTGCTCAATAGCTCCTCCTCGTTTTCAGCCCTTTCAGCTAGTCCTTCCTGCAGAGGTCAAGCCGGACAGCAGCTCTGCTAAAAGATCACAGACGACGGGCCATTTAGTGATCTCCATGCCCAAGGTAGGTGATGGCATTTGTATTGATTTCAAGTCTAGGGACATTGATTCCTGAAGGAACTTGACCTGTCAAAGCTAATGGTGATTTCTGACCAAGGTTCTTTCAATTGAGAGAAACAGAAAATTTGCTTGGCTCAGCTCAGGGCGGAGGACAAGGCCTGTGGGAAGGGAAGGCTGAGACTGGGGTGATTAGGGCCTGAGGTGGCTCCTCCTCCCATTCTTCCCCAGTATATGTTGTCTCTGCACCTTCCTGTGTCTCTGCAGAGTCTGGGTGGTGGTTGGGGAGGAAGAAGGTCACGGTTCTTATAAGCGGGACAGGTCCCATGGAGCACTTCTAGTCCACTGTGATCAATAGCTTCCGTACAAATAACCATGACAGGAGATGTAGCAGGCAGGCCTTGGATCTCTAGAAAGATTGTATTTGACATCCAAATATCAGGATCACCAGCTTTGTGATTTCTGGTAAGTTATTAAACTGTCTAGGCCTCTATCATCACTTAACAAAGCTTTTGTAAATAAGGAGGGGAAGAGGGATTGAAGGAGTGCAGGGGAATGGGATAAAAAAGAGAATCAAGATATATCATGTAGGGCAGGTGGTGGAACCACTGAGCTAAATCCCCAGCCCTAAGATATATCATGCACAGGTACAAATTCCCTATATGAATATGATCGTTATGTATATCTAAAATGTACCAATAAACTTAATCAATTAAAAAAAGAGAGAATGCGTATAAAATTCAGAGCAGAGTTAGCATGAGTTAGCATAATTAATGAAACAGCTAATATTATTTTAATATTGTTTTTATGACATGGACCAGATAATATTTTTTTCTTCTTTCCTTGGGCTGTTGTTAATGTGGGTGCATTTTTTACAGGGCACAGGATCAAATGGATTTGGTTTAATTTAACATATATTTTTCGAGTGCCAGTTGCTGACCTAAAAATGAATAAGAAACATCAGGTTTTTAATAAGTCTAGTACTCTCATCACTTATAAACAAATAATTATTTATTGTCTGAGAAAAAAACAATGGTGGGAGGTACTAGAAACAGTGGCATTGCTAAGTCTAGTCTGGTCAGGAGGAACTACAAGACTGTGATTTTGAAGAGTGAGTTTATCTGCTACATGGAGAGAAAGAGGGCCACGTGGCAGGGAGACAGGAAGCACAAGGCATAGTGTGTGGCTGCAAAGTGGTTCTATGTGGCTGTGGCAGTGGACAGATGTGAGAGAAGGAGGAAGAGGAAATTGGAAGGTACTGTTATGGTTTAGATCTAGAATGTCCCCCAACTTTCATGTGCTCAGAGGTGGGGCTTTAGGAGGTGATTGGATCATGAGGCACTGTCTGCACCAGTGGAATGACCCACAGACGAGGTCAGAGGGAATGAGCTGTTAGGAGGTGAGGCCTGGTTAAAGGCAGATCATTAGGGGCACAACCTGGAAGGGTGTGTCTCCCTCGCTCGCTAGCTCCTCCCTCCTGTCCCTGGTTCCTGCCCACCATGACTTGAGCAGCTTGCCTCTGCCAGGCCCTTCCACCATGCCCTTCTGCTGTGGAGCCAGCCAATTATGGACTGAATCCTCTAAACACCATCAGGAAAATAATCTCCTCCTTTTAAGTTGTGGGTGTCAAATACTGTGTCTCAGCTTCAAGAAAAGTGACTAAGGTACACAGGAGAAAATTGACCTGTGACCTTAGATAGAAAGATCACTCTATATGCAGTTTGGTATCGGGAATGTACTGGGGAAACCAGAGAGGCAGTCAGTTACTGGATAAGTCAAGGCAAAAAATGATAAAGGTATGAGCTATAATTTCATGCCTTAATATTTAGTGAGTGCATACTGGAAGGCACATGCTCTTCTAAATGCTGAGTGAACCAAGGTTTCTTCCAGTGGACAAGGGAAGACAGACAATGGACAGTTAAGCAAGCAAAGTTATTTACAATAGAAATGAGCCCTATGATGAAGATAAGGCCAATCATAGCCTGAAAGGGATGACTGAGAGCATACAACCTTGACCTTCCACTTTAGGTTGAATGAAGGTCAGGAAAGGCCCTTGTGAAAGATAACATTTAATCTGAGACCTGAATGATATGGAGGTCCAGGTGTGCAAAGAGATGATGCACTAAGCAGAAAGAACAGCAAGTACAAGGATACTCTGGTGGGAATAAGGCCACTGTTCCTGGAACAGGGAAAAATGCCACAGTATCTGAAATATAATGTGTGAGGAGGAAAGTAGAGGGAGATGCCAAAAGCATAGGCTGAAAACTACCTTGTGCACAGCCTTTTAGACCACAACAAAAAATATGATCAGTACTCCAAGGGGTATGGAAAGCCACTGGTATGTTTTATTCAGAGGAATAAAGAGATCTGATTTATATATCTTTAAAGATCATTCTGCCTTCTGTATGGTTTAAGCATTGAAGGATAATAGCCAGGCATGGTAGCTCATGCCTGTAATCCCAGAATCTGGGAGGCTGAGGGAGAAGGATTGAAAGTTTCAATCCAGCCTGAGTGATTTAGTGAGACTCTATCTCAAAAGGGGTGGTGATGGTGCCGAGGACATAGCTCAGTGCTTGTGCAAGGGCCCTGGCTTCAATTGCCAATACCACACACACACACACACACACACACACAAACATGCACACACACACACAATCTAAGGGTGAAAAGAGTGGAAATGAAAAGAACAGAAGCACCAAAAAACAGTGGAAAGGCCATTCACTGAGGTGGTCTGCTTGGGAGAGGGTAGACAATGACAGGCAGGTGGTGAATTGAGAATGTATTTTGATGACAAGGCCAATACCATGTAGATAAGTCAAGGAGGCTTTTACAGTAGGTATATTCTGGTGCCGTTCTCTGAGATGGGGAAGACTAGGGAGGAATTTGGGGAAGCAAAAACCTGGATTTATGTGGCCACCATAAACTATAGAGGCCTTGAAGCAGGCAGTTGATGTCTCATATGTAAGCCATGATCTCAGCAGAGTGGGTCAGACATATGAAAGCAGAAATGATGAACATGTAGATGATAGTCCTAAACATGAGACTGAAAAGTTCACATCGGAGGAAAGCTGAGTGGGGGTGGGGGAGGGTCCATGCTGGAGCAGTGAGAGCACTCCTTCACCTTGGAGTTGGGGAGAGAAGGAGCCAGACACGAAATCATGCATCAGTACTCAGTGGGTTAGCAAGATGGACAGAAGTGTGTGGCATCAGAAGAGCCTGGAGGGTAAACTATTTGAAGAAGAAAGTAGGAGGTTGAGTCTGAGGAGGACATAGAAGTGGTCATTGGCTTTGACGAAAGAGAAGCCATCTATGGCCTTGATAAAAGTCATTTCAGTGGGGCAGAGAAATAGGAAAGGGTCAGTACAAGAATAAGCAATATAGATGTGGAGACCAGAATTTCAGACAATGCCTTTGGGAAGTTTTGCTGTAAACGGGAGTAGAGTAATAGGCAAGTGGCTGGAGGGGCATGAAGAGTCAAGCAAGAGTTTTTGAGGCTATAATTGATATAGCTGGAAGAAACATCAGCGAAGTAGAATAAATGATTCACTAGACTGAGTGGGAAATTGAAGATAAAAATATAGGTGGCACCTCCCTGGAGGACTAAAAATCATAGGGTTTATAACTTCCGAGGCCTGATAGGGTTGCCGCTGCCAACTTTTAGAATCTTTAACTTTGATCTCAGAGTAGAATATCTGAGAAAAAAGTTGTGGGGAAGAATGACAGACTCACCATACTTAACCACCCTGAAAGAACTGAAAGACATTAAACTTATTAATTTGTCTGTATAAAGTGTCTGAATTCCTCATTGTAGGCTCTGTGAATCACTTAGGATGTCTTCTGCTGTAAGCCACAGAACCCCAAATAACACTGACTTTGACTGTAAAGAACCCTCATCTCTGACAAGTTAGAAGAAGGCAAGGAAGTCCCCAGGCAGGAAGGGTCAGGCTCTTTCTGAAATGTCAGCTTGTTCTCAGACCAGCTTTCTCCCTTGAGAAAGGTTGAAGCTTTCTTGTTCCCACCTTACATGAAATAGAGAGAGCCTGAGGGAGAGGGTCTCTCTCCCTCCAGACCCCCTGGGACAGTCACCCAAAGGGCCCCTCCACTCCTGACTTGGTTCGTCCTGAATGGCAGAGCCAATCTCTGGCCCAAGTATTTTTAAAAAGGAAAATTGTATAATTAATATAACTTTGGCTTCAAATAACAGAAAATCCTGACTCGGAGAGGTTTAACTAATAAAAATATATTACCTATAAAAAAGGATTCAGATGGACAGGTACAATTTTAATTCCGTTATAGAATAGTATCATTAATCTGTTAAGTGAAACATAGTACTTTCAGAAATATCTAAAACAGTTCTTGGTTGTTTCTAACACAGTATTTGGAGAGTCTAGATCAACTGAAAGGATGTCAGATTTGATGGCCAGTAATTTCCTCTTAGTGACAGCGTTTGTAAAGAGCACTGGGAAGCTCTGTGACTGCATCATGCTTATTTGTGGAAATTCAATCCTGAAGTTTGTTTCCATTTTCCAAGGGCACAGAACTTGTCACAGAATCCACAAAATCCTGTGCTATTTCTTATTAGATACCTCATTCAGCATTTCTCAGACTGATCAATGTCAGATTGATATATTTGACTTCTCTTACCCCTAGGGAGGCTGGATCTATACAGAGTAGGTGCTGACCAGTAGGTGAACTCCACCTGCCTGAGTCTGCCCCTTGTCACATAGACCAAGGGCAGATCTTCTGTTACTGACACCCTGGGCATTGCCAGCTCAGCTCCTTATTCCAGAAGGCTCCGCTCAGGCCAGCCCTGCAATGCCAGGTGCTATCCTGGTCTAGGACAGTCTGTGATGCACTGGGGACCTGTATAATGCTGTTCAAAAAGCTTCCTCACCCATTCCCCAGCATTCTTTACACCCTTTCCTCCTGTATCTTTCTTCGTAGACTGGCACTTGGGAGTCTATAAATATTTAGTTGTTCCTTTCTTTATTTTCTCCAAGAAGAGAC